GCTTGGCTTAGTGGTCTTTCAGATTCTATTATCTGATGGGAATGAAATGAAACTTGCTCAATAGACAAAGCGTTTGAAAAGAGTCCTACAAAGACACTGCAGATGAAGTTTCAGATTCAGTTGAGGGTTGAAGTAATAATGCCGGGAACATGAACTGCAAGATAACGCAGAGCTGACACTTCTATATCTATTATGGGCTTGTCAGTCAATTGCAAAGTACAAGAACAATAATGATCTAAGGAGATTGAAGGGGGATCAGTAAAAACACCTTAAAGTTGTTAGAAATACTATTTGTTATAAGGATTTATTTATATATTAGGGGCCCAGTGCACGAATGCGTGCACCTTGAAAGGAACTGTGGGTGGCGAGGCTGTGGTGGGCACAGGGGCGGGTCTCGGCCCATCCTCCATGCCCCACCTGGCCCCTCCCACCATGGCCCCGGTCCCCTGTCTATCGGCAGCCCCGCTCCTGCTGCCACTGCTCCCATGTGCTGATGGCGCCAGCCCCGCTCACACCCGCTGACAGCATAGAGTGATTGGGGCAGGCGCCAGCAGCGGGTGTGAGTGGCAGCTGCTATTCCAGTCGCCTCTCAGGAGCAGGGGGAGGTGGAGAAGCCCTCAGGGGCGATCGGGGCCAGCAGCCGCTGCTCGCACCTGCTGATGGTGCCAAGCGATTGAGACTAGTGCCGGGCACCAGCAGAGGGTGCGAGCGGCGGCTCTGGCACCGGCTACGGGTGTGAGCGGGTCCGGCGCCGGCAGCAGGTGTGAGTGCTGGGCAGGACCGTGGAGCACGGGAGCAAAGAATTTTCAGTAACCACCAGAAGCTCACCTCGATGACAGCGACTGGTGCCCCACCTTGGTCTGGCACCCCTGCTCACCTGTTCCACCATCCCAATGCAACTGACGCCCACCATATTCCGCGCTCTGCTGCCTGCTGCCAACGCCTGCCATGTTCTGCATGCGCCCCCTAGTGGTCAGCGCGTCATAGCAACCGGATGTTTGGTTGTTCCACTGTTTGGTCTATTTGCATATTAGGGTTTTATATATGTAGATACCATTGATTATATTGTGCCCAAGGTATTTACTAATGATATTATGAGGCTACTCCTAGCAGTTGAGATATTTTAAAACTAAGCATTCAGCATATGAAGGCAAAGTTATTGAGCTTTTTCAGTGATGGTTAGTCATGTGCTAATTAGTATCTTAAATTTTTAACTTAATTATACATTTTTAGAAATTTTGTGAAGATCTTACTTCAGGAGTAAAACCAAAAGATACAAACCTTTGTTGTTCTTGTTTTGGTAATAGTGGCTGAAATAAATACAGACAAATGAATAATTTTAGTTTGGTGAAATGCATGCCTTGTTAGCAAATATTGTTGGGAATACTCATAGAGGACATTACTGAAGATTTGAAGTAATATTATACCCAACTATGGAGTTTGTGAGAGTTTCTGTTCATTTGGGTAAAAGTACAGAGCTTATGGTATTTGATATACTCCATTTTATTGATAAAATATGTGAAGACCTGCCTCCCCAAACCACAAAAGAAAAGGTTTACCAGAGAATATATTCAAAGTAAAGGACTTACTTTGAATATATAAAAGAATAATACGGTGTCCCCAGAACCAGCCTGTGAAACATAGCTAATAGGGTTGCTGTCCCTCTGCGGCCACTTTATTCTGCTCCCATCTCCAGGGGTATCACTTTCTGAGTTGGGTGGCCGCAGGCTGCGTGTGCACTTGGAAAGCATTTGTGTTTGTCATTATTGGGTGACATAAACATCAGTTAGGTCTCGTAGGCTGAAGGTGCTGTTCAGTCCTTCCACGTCCTTCTTGACTTCCTACTTTCTTGATCGTGGACGAGTGTTGAAGTCTCCAAGTGTAAGTGTGGATTTGTCTAGTATGTGTTTGTACCGTCTTTGAAAAAAATTTAAAACTTTACTTTCAGAACAGTTTTAGACTTACGGAAAAATGGAAAATAATAGCATCCCATGTCCTGTTCTGTTCTTAACCTCAGACATTAGCACTTTTGTTACGATTAGTGAACCAATGATGGTACATTATTACTAAAATCCACACTTGATTCAGATTTCCTTAGTGTTCACCTAGTGGCCTTTTTCTGTTCCACAGTCCCGCCCAGGATAGCACATTACATGTAGTTGTCATGTCTCCTTAGGTGTCTCTTGGCTTTGTCAGTTTCTCAGACTTTTCTGGTCAAGTTTTTGATGAATTTGAGGAGCACTGGTAAGGTATTTGTAGATTATCCCTCAATTGATATTTGCCTGATGTTTTTCTCGGGATTAAACTGGGTTTATCGGTTTGGGGGAGGAAGACAACAGAGGTTAAAATGCTGTTTCATCACATCGTGTCAAGGATGTGTACCGTCAGCATGACTTACCTGCTGATGTTGAACTTGCACTGGCTGAGGTAGTGCTGACCAGGTTTCTCCACCGTCCAGTTATTTCACGCCCGCCCCATGCTGTGTCTTTGTAAGGAAGTCCCTGTGCGCAGCCCGCACTTAAGGAGTGGGCATGTGCTTCACTTTCTTCCGGGCTGAGTATCGACGTAAATTACTTGGAATTCTTCACAGGGTATTTGCTCTCCATTTATTAATATATTCGCTCATTCATATCAGTCCTGACGGATGGGTATGCGATGCTGCCTTATTTATTTTGTTGCTGCAGTTGTTCCAGCTTTGGCTGCTGGGAGCTTTCAGTTGGCTCCTGTGTCCCTTTTATATACTCGTATCATATGGTTTATTCTTCTCCACAAACTTCTTTACTTCCTATATTACAAGATGTTCCAGGCTCATCTTGTATATTCCCTGCCTCACTCATTTTGTTGGAGAAAGGTATTATAAACCAAGGTATTACAAACCAACATTTGGGCTAGGTATGTCCATTACATGCAGTTCAGGTATTACAAACCAACATTTGGGCATTAGGTATATACTCATTACAGCTAGGGTGTTATTGTTTCAACATCTCAGTTGACAGAGCAAGGACATGTGTGTATATACTAACCCATGCATATACACATAGCTATAATTACTTCTGTATGTAACTATCTGTATCCGTATTAAAAGAAACATGATCTTATACTGATGTCTGCAACTGTAATCCATTACCACATGGGTCATTCTAGCTTCTCATCTTGCTTCTCTGTAACCTCACACTCTTCCAAATGCCATCTCTTTATGTAATTGTTATATTAGAATTGGTACCGTATGACTGATGGGAAACTAGAGTATAGTACGTAGGTATATTTTGTTTTGCTTTTAGTCTTACAGACACCATTCATTTCCAAAGTCACTTCCACCCCCCCCCCCCCCCCCCCTCTTCAGTGAGGTTGTTTCAGACATTTGTAACATAGTTAGATTGTTTTGTCACATTCTGCATTTCATCCTTGGATCCGCTGATGTCCTAAAGGATTTAATAAAAATTTACACACATTAAGTTCACTCTGTGTTGTAAATTTCTGTTAGTTTGACAAATGCATAGGGTCATGTATCCACCATTATAGTGAAGTTTCACCACCCCAAAAGTCTGCGCTTCATCTATCACCCCTCTTCCCTTCCCCCTAAATCTCTGTCGATTACGGATCATTTTGCCATTTCTATAGTTTTGTTTTTTTCACACACCCATCACATCACAGTCAACGTGTGTGTGTGTGTGTGTGTGTGTGTGTGTGTGTTGAGAATGTTTAAGATTTATTCTCTTAGCAAATTTCAGGTATACAGTATGGTATTATCCACTATAGTCACCAAGCTGTACATTCAATTCCCATCTTATAACTAAAAGTTTGTATCCTTTGTCCAACATCTCTCCATTTTCCCCACCCCTTAGCCCCTGGCTACCACCATTCTACTCTGCTTCCAGAGTGAGTTTGACTTTTTTCTTTTTTGTGTATTATTAGATTCCACTTATGAGTGGGATCATCATATTTGTCTTTCTCTGGAATATTTCACTTTGTGCTTTGCTTTTTGTGTGTGTGTGTGTGTGTGTGTGTGTGGAATGAAGCTTCTGAGTGGGGTGATTAGGATCCATTGGAGATCGAACCTGTTTGAATAAATACACCTCGTGGATTTCTGTGTGTCCACAGGATGAACGACAGGAAGAAGGGGGCGCAGAGTCCTGAGACCATGGCGTCAGAGGATTTCATTTGTTCGTTCGCGCGGACAAAGATTTTGGCAGTTGAAATGGGAAAAAAGGGTGGATATGAGAGTGATTATGAGGAAGGAAATGCAGGGTTTGAAGTCAGAGCTGGTATGTGAAGGGAATGATAGGAGGTTTGGTTATCTCTAGATTGTGAGGCCAAGAAAAGGCAGCGTGCCAGGAGCCCCTGTGGCAGGAAGTGGAGAGCGTACTTACTGTGGAGGTCTCTCTGCAAGATGGACTTTCACAGCTAGTTGGTCTGCTGGCGACGGTCGGATCCCTGGGTGTGCGGGTTGGAGGAGATCCCAGCGTTCATAAACAGCTGTATGGGCTGCTTTCCTGTGCTTCTGCTTGGTTAGCGCCCTGGTACTTTCTGGCTACTCTGGACTCCCTTTCCTGTCCGCTGGCCAGAAACTGCCCCTCCTGCAGTGGCACCGCAGCAGCAGAGGAGAGAGAATAAACCCGTGGGCCCCTTGGAGCTGCAGCTGACCAACAGAGGATTCCTTTTCTCCACACTTTTTAATTCTGCCGTTTCCCAGGCCAGCGGCTTTGCTGCTGCCTTCGCCTCCACTGCGGGATTGCTGCTGGCTGGGGTGGGAGAAAATGAAGAAAAAGGAAAGAGGGGGAAGAAGACCGGGAAATGTCTCTCGCTCTCTCTGGGCTCCGGTTCTGCTTCTCTGTGAGCTAGCACGAGAGGGCTCTGAGGACTTCTCTGTGTCTATATCACATCCTAGGTTGGGGGGCGTACTGGGTTGAGGTCAAGCCAGGCGAGGCGAGAGGGAAAATATGGCAGACGCGCCATCTGTTCCGTAGGACTGTGAATTCTGGATTCTTCCCTGGCCCACCTGCTGCTGTTTACTTTTCACAGAGCTCAGATAACTCCAGCACGCGCTCCGCAGGCTTCGTGTTCAGTGGGAGAGTAAGGTTGGCGTGTGCTCACTCCATTTTACTTGGACCCAGAACTTCCAGGCCTGGGCGTTCTACCGTGTCTGTCGGTCACCAGGTGCCCCTGTAGGGGGTGAATTAGTTCCCAGGCGCTGGTCAGGAGTGCTCAGCTGCAGGCCATTCTCCAGAGAAGAGCGCGGCTGGAGAAGCTGGCAGCCAGGTAGGGGTATCCTGGCAGGGCACGGACAGCGTCTGCCACGTTGTGATGCTGGCCCCTTACTTGCATTTGACTTACATGTCTTGACCATCTTTTCATAAATTGCACTTACCTACCTCGTTCTTTTTAGTATCTGTGGACTATACTCTATAGTATGGCTGTACCATAAGGTGTTTAAGCCATTTTACACTGTTTTATCTCCCCTTTCTTTCCTTCTGCGTCCACTCTGCTTCCGTTTCCCCCCCTTACCCTTTCCTCTCCTTCCCTCTCCTCTCCTTTTTAAACAAATAAACAGACATATTTACTGGGCCAAAGGTAGCATACATTAAAATTTTGGTAGAAATTGCCATCCAAATACTTGGGTCAGTAAGTATATATTCATTACTAAGAGTGTCTGTCTCCCAGGAAACATATTTAGAGATTTTAAAACACTTTTAAGTACAAACATCAAACATATTCAGCTTTTAAAAAACTGCCAGGCAATACAGTGACAAAATAAAATTTTGGGGGAAAAACCCATGCCTTATGAATGCATTTTCATTTTTAATTTATTTCTAATCTTTAGTCGTATACATATATGATGGTTAAATTGATACTGCAATATGAATACTATATTTTAATTTTGTTGGCACCATATGTAGCTAGGCATGTTGCTTATATTTCATAATTATTTTATAATTATGGTTAGCCTTATGCGATAGCTCTGAATTTTGAGAATTTTTCTATAGTATGAACACTTTTGCAAACTTTTAAGAAAATCGTTGCATGAATATGATTTCCTAAAGCAATTGAAACTTAGAAGCATTGTTTCTGAAACATTAGTATCAAATCCTTGTGGTTGGGCAGATCTTGATTATCTTTCGTGCATCTGAGTCACATTTTACTTGGGAGTTAGATTCTGAAATCAGCGAGTGCCTGAAGTAGGTGAAAATTCCTTTTGAAATTTCCTCAGGAACAGACCGTGGTGGGGGCCAACATAGACAAGGAGTTCGAGGTCTGGCACAGCTAGTTTTTTCTTCATGTTGGAACTGGCTACTTTTTTCTTTAGTTGAATTGTGTTTTTAGAAAAAAGGAAAGGGGTGCTTACTCAGTCAGAGGCCAGAGGGAGCTGTAGATTCACTTTCTTTCTCACACTCTCTTGGAACAGGTGATCCTGGTGTGGGATTGCCCATCGTTTAAATAATTCTCTTTCTCTCTCATGTAGTTGAATTTGTGTTAGTCACATGTAAATATACTAAAGTTCCACTGTATGTTTTTAAAACTTGGGTAGTTTAAATAACCATAACATAATTAAAATAATCTGATTTATAAAACAGATTTCTTACTGGCTCGTCAGTGTGATGCCCTTTTCATTTGTTATCTCGGATTGTTTTGATGCACATTTTCAGGTATTGTTTGATTCAGGTTTGTAATAACTGTGTGTGGGACATGAGGATACCATCATTTTGTCAGTTTAGATAATGTTTACTTTGTGCTTTATAAATTTCAAAAGCCCAAAGATTTTCTTAAAAGTAAATATACGAAATTAATGTCTAGCATGGTGTCATTAATTACAAATGATGTAATTAATCCTCTAGGTTTATAAACTACCTGTGTCGTCGTCGTCGTAGTAATAATGATAATGATAATAGTTGTAATCATAAGAATAGCAGCTACCATTTGTCCTGAGCTTCCCGTAGGCCAGGCACTGTAAACGAATGACTGCATTTGATCCTATCGCAAGAAGCTCCACAAAGGGGCGGGGACTTGGTCTCTTTCATTCACTGCAGTGTTTCTAGTTCATCTAGATGTGTCTCCCATCTAAGAGCTGCTTGTATTTGTCAAATGACTGGTCGTGAAGTCTGTGTAATTTTTATGCTGTTTCAGCAATGAGGAATAAACCTTAGCGTGATGAAGGCACTTCCTCAAGGATAGACTTGCGGTAACGGAAAGGCAGCGCAAGCCCATGTTGGGATGGTCGTCATTTTGACTGAGGGGACGTGCTAGTCCAGTTGCAGCCAGACGTGTAGCGATGCAGCATTAATTACTGTTGCTTTAGGTGGGTTGACGTGCTTTTTCTTGAAAGACCAGAGAGCAACTATTTCAGACTTTGCAGGCCAGGTGCTCACTCTGCCATTGTAGCACGAAAACATCTATAGGTGATACATAAATGAATAGGTATGGCTGTGTTCCAGTAAAGCTTTATTTGCAGAAACAGGCGGCAGGTAGGATCTGGCCGAGGGTAGGCTAGTTTCTCTAGTTGGTGTCCCCTGCTTTCGGTGGTCTCTTGCTGCCGGTGCTGCAGGAGCCCACATGCAGATGTGTGTGCCCAAAATGGCCTAGCAGTGCTTGTAGTTTGGTGGCCATCGAGATGATCCAGAATATGTTTGTATTAACTTTTTCAAAATGAATCTGGAAGTAATGACAGAATTTTAAAAAATTGCCATAAAGAATTTAGGGATCTCAGGGACTTCTTAGACCCATTTTGAGAAAAAGGGGTGTAAAGAAATAGCAAAAATGGAAAAAGGATATAATAAATGAGATATATTATAAAGGGCATTATGATATTTTCTGTTAGTCTGTGTGCATTATTTAGTGAGAGACCAAGATTGGAGAGGAGGGAGCAGGTTTTTGAGTATATATATATTTTTCTTTGAAATCGCAGGCTACTGGTACCAACTCCTGTTTTTTTCTCTAGGACCTAGATTTTATTAGTGTTTTTTTTTTCTGTTTCTGGTTGCTTTTTCTTTAATTTTCTTTCTATTTAAAACTAGAGGCCTGTTGCACAAAAAGATTCGTGCAATAGGCCTTCCCTTCCCCTGGCTGCTGGCACCGGTTTTCCTCTGGCACTCGGGACCCAGGCCTTCGCTCCGGCCGGAGCCACCTTTAAGCCTTCGCTGCTCCGGCTGGAGCCGCCACTTCGCGCCTACATATGCAAATTAACTGCCATATTTGTTGGTGGTTAATTTGCATATCGTGCTGATTAGCCAATGGGAGGCATAATGAAGGTATGGTCAATTACCATGTTTGTCTATTATTAGATAGGATTCTTTCCTTTTGGGGGCAAATTATTAAGAAACCATCACTTGTGTTGCAGCCTATTTGGTAACATTTCAGTGATCTGAAAAGAACCAGTCTTAATTATCAAAATATTAATTGCAGGATATTAAGGAATAGTTTTTCATTTTAAATTTTCTTTAGGATATATTTACAACTAAACTTTTTTCAGTCACTTTGTTTTAGTGGCTATGGGATTTGTGTGGTCATCATTTATTTAATTTGTGACTAACATATTTGAGAATGATTTACAAAAGTGTCATCTGCTTAGGGAAATTATTTGGCTTATGCTATTTGTCTACATATTTTTCTTCATAGAATAAGGCAAAGTTCAGCTAAAATTGTCACAAATTTTGCATCAGTAGGGCCCATGCAATGGGCTGTTTGTGTTCTAGCTTTTTAGGCCTAGATATTTGAAAATATCCTCTAAGAAACACAGTTCTGTAAGAAGTTTAATGAAAGGGTTGAGGTTCTACTCTACCACTACTGAGTTGTGTGCCCTTGAGCAAGTTACTGTTCTTTTCTAGGCATCTGTTTCCTAATCAATAAAATGGGGATAATGTAATAGTTATAATAAAACCACATAGGGTTGAAGGGAGTATTAAATGAGATAATTCATGGAGAGAGTTTTAACAGTCACTGGCATAGCCTGTCAGTGTAAACTACTGTTATCAGGTGATAAAAAGTTGCATTTAAGAGTTGAGTGTGGGGATGAATTTCTCTCTTTTTTTTGTTAAACATAAAAATGTATTTTATTTATATATTTCGTGTATAAGCTCACTGTTTTTATGTTCTCTATTGTAGCCTTTCATTATAATTATTTTCTAAATTATATTTAGTAACATGTTCATGAAAAACAGTAGGGATATGGGAAACTGTATCTCAACGAATAGAGGACTGTGCAGAGAAAATAAAATTAGAAATCAGATATAGCCCAAATTTTCAGCCCAGGAGGCGTGTATGAGCTCAGTTAAGTATTGACTTTTAATATTTTAGAAATGATCAAATAGAGAAATAAGGATTTACCTCTTTTGGTATCAGGTTCCAGGTCATTTTCACTGACACTCTCTTAGTATGTGCATTTCCCAGCTGATGTCCCGAGGCTCTCTCTTCACAATAGAGTGCTAAGCACTTGGTTGAATTGTCCAGTGATCGGTGCTTCATGGCGTCCTTCTTCGTCCCTAGGATGGTTGAGGAAAGTGGGAATAAGCGGAAGACGCCGGCGGAGAAGAGGCAGCTGTTCATAGACATGCGTGAGTCCCGAGTGCCTCTGGCGCCCTTGTTTATGCGCGGGAACGCTTTTCCCCCTTTCTGTTCTGGCCAAGTCCCAGCTTTAATCAGAAGTTTTAAGTTACAGGCTTTAGAAAGGGAAGAATGAGAGTTAAAGATCATGGAGTTGGAGGACCCCAAGACAGACCGTATTATTTTAATTGAACCGATTTGAACTGCTTTCTGAAGCCAGGCCGTAAAGAATGAGGCAGAGGTGTTACCTAGCATGTCTGTAGGATCAGGGCATGCCCGTCAATTTAGCCCTCTTGCTGTAGCTCCGTGGTCACCGTGAGCTTGCAGGTGCGGATGCATAATTAATACGTCATATAAATTACCTTGCACTACATACCAGTTCGGAGGTAGAGAAGACTAAGTGTCAGGCCAACACTTAGAGCAAGAGGAAAAATTAATAGCATGAATGTGTACTTTGGTATCTTACTTTACTATACAATATTAAATCTTCTGTTAAAAATTACATTATCGCCCTAACCGGTTTGGCTCGGTGGGTAGAGCGTCGGCCTGTGGACTGAAAGGTCCCAGGTTCGATTCCGGTCAAGGGCATGTACCTGGGTTGTGGGCACATCCCCAGCACGGGGTGTACAGGAGGCAGCTGATCGATGTTCCTCTCTCATCGATGTTTCTAACTCTCTATCCCTCTCCCTTCCTGTCTGTGAAAAATCAATAAAACATATTTTTTAAAAATTACATTATCATGTAAGACTGAACAAAGAAACAAGATGGCTGGGAGGAGTAGGGCAGTCCACAGTGTTGGAAGGGTGGTTTGCTTTGTGACTTCTTGTCTCGGTGACCTTGACTGAGTGACCTTGACTAGTGCACACATACTTGCAGGACTTCAAATTCTTCTGCCGGAAATAGGGTTCCTGGTCTGGGCCAGTGACTGTGAAACGTTTTAAAAGCATTTGACTCTTATAAAACGGTGCTGCTCTGCTGACGCTGGAGAGGGAGGCAGGAGCCCAGCGTGGGATGGCCCCGAGGTCCCATTCACAGAGGGAAAGCCAGTTTGGGTTCCCAGGGCCAGCTTCCCAAGAGCGTGAGAGCAGGGGCAAGCTGACCACCTTTTGTCCCCATTGTCAGAAGTCATGCAGGCACGTCTGCCGCGGTACTCATTCAGGCAGGCACCGTAACCCGCTCAGATGAAAGTAGCGGGGAAGAAGCTTTAGTTCTAGATCGGGAGGCACAGTGCACTGGAAATTCTGTTATGCCACAGACCTGGAAGGGGAGCTCGGAGATTAGCTGGTCTGGTTCCCTCGTTGTACAGAGGAGGACACTGAGCCTGAGATGAGGGCTGTGACATGGCGACGGCCGTGTTCTGTGGTTGGCAGTCAGGCCGGAGCTGGAATTTACATCTCTGACTCTACGCTGGGGTCTTCCCTACCATGCCACCGTATCCCCACTTCCTAATAGATATAGTCAGTTCACGCACATCATGAGTGTTCCTCGCCTCGAAGCTTGCGTAGGCTAGCAGATAGGGTAATTAGGCAGAACTGCTGGTGTGGAGTGGGCACACAGGAAGTGTACCCTAACCCTTCCCCCTGCCTTTGTGCTCTATCAGAAGACTCAGTTGGCAAGTTACATGTAACCTGTGCCAACACAATGGAACGGAGCCTCTTCCCAGCATTTAGAAATTAACCGGTAAGTCCACTTGAACATGTTTTATTTACCCTTTTTTCAGGTGCTCAGAATTTTGATGTCATACGACTATCAACTTACAGAACAGCTTGCAAATTACGATTTGTACAAAAGCGATGCAACCGTAAGTCATTTCTATAATAGCCGTATAGAACTCTCAATAATATAAAAGATTTTAATATCTTTTAGTCATATTGTAATTTTAATGGAATTATTTTGTCGTAAGTATCAGAATATAAACTTTGTAATGGAAAGAAGTTGGCACTTTACTCTGTGTCTCCCTCAAAATATGTAATAAACTCAATATGTAACTAGTTTTGAGGCTGGCATATTATTTATGTTCTTCAAAGGGGGAATGTGTTTCTCCATGTCACTTTTTAATGAAAAATTTTGTGCAGAATTAATACAATATATCAGCTTCTGGAGGAAAAGAATATTTTGACGAAGGTATCCTATATAATAAAAGCATAATATGCAAATTGACTGAACGGCCAAACAGCAGAACGGCCATCTGGACTACCATCTGGACAACCATCTGAATGACCATCGGGACCATGCTATGACAGCCACTGGTGCCAGGCCAGCCAAAGCGGGTGCGATGCGATTGGTCGGGGGCCTGGCCATCGCCCCATGATCGCCCCACAGAGAGAGGCCCAGGCCACAGGCCATTGGGGCAAACCATCGGGGGGCTCCACAATCTCCCCACAGAGGGAGGCCCAGGCTACTGACTGGCAGGCTGTGGCAGGTGGGCGGGGCCTCCCTGTGTGAGGGAAGCCCCAGTCCTGGGTGTCTGCCAGCAGCCAGAGGGAAGGCCGGGTCCCAGGTGCCTGCCGGCGGCGGGAGGGAAGCTGGTGCAGGCAGCTGGGGGAAGGAAGGTCTACTCTTGCACAAATTTCATGCATCGGGCCTCTAGTACAGTATATAATAACAATTAAACTTAATATAACAACAATCAGCCTTTTCCATAAGCAGTTGCTACCACAATTGCTATTTATAAAATAAGTAAAAAAAATATAAATGTGTACATATACACATAACATGCATAAAAATCTTTCTTCTCTTAATTTCCATGAAGATGAATTGACTTATGACAGAATTATTGTCCTTTTCTCATATATGTGTGTGTGTATTGATGAAAAACTGTTTTGTATAATGGAAGGATCATTAGCCATAGAATGGTGAAGCACCTCAGCTTTAACCCTTTGTGGTCCACTTTTATTTTTGGAATTCAGACAGTCTGGTCCAAATTAATTGACAGGATTGAATGTTGAATCGGTTTGCGGTATCTCAGCCTCAACGTTGGACCTGCTCCTAGCGCCTGGTCTGTCAAGTCAGCCTCCACGTTGGACCAAAAAGGGTTAATCTTGGTTTTGCCATCTGTGTATATAATCCTATCTAATAAAGAGGGAATATGCAAATTGACCATCACTCCGCAATAAAGATGGAAGCGCCCATACCCAATAAGGAAGGAATATGCAAATTGATACGACAAAGATGGCAGCGGCCAGGCCAGGATGCTTGCATTGTTGCCAGGGCAACGACGCAGGCGTTCCACCCCGCCCTGCCTGCGGAGGGCCTCTGTGCAGGAGAAGGGTCTTCAGCTGAGCTGAGAGAAGAACATGAAGAGGGAAAAGGGAGATACGAGAAAATTGTCTTTTGTAAGGAAAAGCTTCTCATAACAAAACTAGAAGATTGAGGCAGTGGAGAGCCCCTGGGGCAGCAGGCGCAGAGTGGCCAGGCCCCACAGAGAGCAGAGAACCACGAGGAGTAGGCCTAAGCCATCAGGGCTCCCGGATTGGAGAGGGCTCCCCTGAGGGCTCCCAGTTTGGACAGGGTGCAGGTCGGGCTGAGGGATCCCCCCCCCCCCCGCACGAATCTTTGTGCACCGGGCCTCTAGTCTATATATAAAAGACTAATATGCTAAATGCCCCTCCACCTTTCCAACCGGTCGCTATGATGCACACTGACTACCAGGGGGGCAGACGCTCAACGCAGGAGCTGCCGAGTTGCAGTGACTTGGCAGTGGTGGTTCTTGGGTGATGTACCCCGAAACCAGAGAGGAGGGAGCCCGATTCCTTTCAGGCGCCACATGATTCCACCTGCGGCTGTGGGTGATGTTGTTGCCGGGGCACGGTCGGCCTGAATCTGGTTTACTGTACACTTGCATTTGTGTTTCACGCCCTGTACGACAGCAACTTTGCAGAGTGCCCTCTCGCACTCCGGGACCCCCCGGGGGATGTCAGAGAGCTGATTTCGGCCTGATCCCCGCAGGCCAGGCCAAAGGACCCCACCTGCCAGAGGGACCCCACTCACTCCACAGACACTGGGGATGGGCTGTGGGAGGTTGGCTCCAGGGTATGTCCAGCCCATCTCGCCCAGTCCCGCCCTGCTGGCCACCTTCTAATTAATTTCCTTTTGATGTGCACGAATCCGTGCACCGGTCACTAGTTTATTATAAACACGTGCCTTGGGCAAACCAGTTTTACAGCTAAATATTTCTACCCTACTATATGTCTTACTCAAAAATCCTAGCTTTAAATGCTCTCTGAAGAGTTTACTGTTCTATCCTAGACTGAAGTCATAGGTATCCCAAAGCAATGTTTTTCAAATTGTGGATTGTGACCCATTAATGGCTTATGAAATTATTTTGGTGACTCTGGACAGAATTTAAACCATGTAATAGAGAAAAAAAGAAAAACCAGGAACCAGCTTATATTGTAAATCTAAAAAGTATTTTGTGGAACTTTTATAAATTTATATGTCTAGAGGGTGTGTGTGTGTTATGATTTAAATATATTTTTGTGGGTTGTGGTTAAAAAAAAAAAACTTTGAAAACCACTGTTCTAAAGAACCTACCACTTTTATAATTCTTCCTGTAATTACTCTTGGGAAATGGTAGTCTTTAAGCGAAGTGTTGAGAGTCATAACCAGGCTAGTGGCCTTAGTAATGTAAAGTAAAAGATGCATTGTTCTAGAAGTTTTATTTTGTAACATTTGATTATTTAACCTACATAACAAAATTTCAGTTTTTTCCACATGTGTGTTCTGTTGTCCCTATACCAGCCGTGGGCAAACTACGGCCCGCGGGCCGGATCCGGCCCATTTGAAATGAATACAACTAAAAAAAAAAAAAGACCGTACCCTTTTATGTAATGATGTTTACTTTGAATTTATATTAGTTCACACAAACACTCCATCCATGCTTTTGTTCCGGCCCTCCGGTCCAGTTTAAGAACCCATTGTGGCCCTCGAGTCAAAAAGTTTGCCCACCCCTGGCCTAGACTGTCTACATGGGGAAAATCATCCTTTTTCTCCCCTGCTCAGCACCTTTTCCTCACATTCTTTGGAGAAAGGCACAAGAACCTTTATAGCAGTGTCTGTGTGTGAGGGCTGCTTCCGGACTCTGTGCTCCATTGGTCTGTTTGTCTAGTTGTCACTAGTACAACTTTGTAATAGGTCTTGATAGCAGGTAGAGCAGGTATTCCTCCTTTGTTCTGTTTTCCTTTTTAAGATTGGCCTTTTTACATTTTATTTTCATACATATTTTAAACTCTGCTTGTCAATTTCTGCTAAGGACAAAGAAAATAAAACAAAAATGTTTGCTGGGATTTTTTTCTTCTTCCTTTTTTTAAAGTGTAATTAACATACAGTACAATTCATCCTTTTAATGTATAGCCCTGTGGGGTTTTGTTGGGATTGCATTGAATCTATAGATCAAGTTGGGAGAGTTGATACATTTCCAATATTGAGATTTCCTCTTGTGAACATAGTATATTCCTCCCATTTATTTAGGTGTTTATTTCTGCCAATTATATTTATAGATTTTTTTGTAGAGATGTTGCACATTCTTCATTGGATTTATCTCTAAATCTTTGATAACTTATGATACTTCTAAAATTTCAGTCTGTTATTGATACATAGAAATACAATGACTTTTATATCTTGATCTATGTCTAGCAATTGTTCTGAACTCAAATATTAAATTTAATAATTTATCCATAGAATCTTTTTTATTTTCTATGTGTCTAATTTAGTCATTTCTGAATAATCACAGTTATATTTCTTTATTTCCAATATTTATACCAATAATTACTGCATCTTTATATTCTTAGGACCTGAAGTACAATAGAAATGATGATAGTGGGCATTTCTTTTTTTAATTTCAATTTTTAAAATTGATTTTAGAGAGAGAAAGGGAGAGGGAGAGACAAAAAAAAAAGAGAAACATTAATGTGAGAGAGAAACATTGATTGGTTGCCTCCCACATGTGCCCTGACTGGGGATCAAACCTGCCACCTTCTGATATATGGGGCGATGCTTCGGCCAACTGAACCACACGGACCAGGGCAATAGTGGGCGTTTCTTATGAGAGGAAAGGCTTTCAGCCTTTTACTATCAAGTAATATGTATGATGCAGTGTTTTATAGATACCCTTAGTAAGGTGAAGGAAGTTCCTTAGTGTGTTGCTTCCTTTCTAAAGATAAGGTTAATTTAAAAAGTTGTCTTTTTGATAATGATTTCTAACTTAGTTTTATTTTGGTCAGAGAACATGATTTATATCCTTTGAAGTTTGTTGAAATTAGTTTTATGACTCAGATAAGGTCAATTTCTATACATGTCTTTTGTGTTTTCTAGAAAATAAAGCATGTTTTTAATCATCGGGACAATACTTCCCATAATGTTTATTCCTACTACTTTGTTGTTGTAAAGTTTAATTTTCTATCTGTACTTACTTTTTGTCTGTTTGCGCTCTCACTAAGAGAGGTGTGTTAATATTTCCCTCAAAGCTTGTTGAATTTTTCTCTTTAACGTTCAATTAAATTTTGTGTTCTGTATTTTTGAGGCTACTGTAGAGGAGTCAGTACTTCCCGGCTACTCTCTCAGGATCTCTGGTTGGGCCTGAGAATTAAATTGACACAAGACAGATTAGCAGGAGAAAAACATACACATTTTTACATGTGCACGGGAGCCCCTTGGGAAAATGAAGACCCAAAGAAGTGATGAGGTCTACGTGCTTATACACTAGGTTGCGCAAAGAGTAGCAATTGTGGAAAAGTAACTAAAATGTGTATATGGGGAGACAGAGGGAAGATAAGAGTTATGTTAACAAGTCTGTACGGATTAATTTTGGCCTCAATCCACTGTCTCTGTGATTATAGTGTTTTTTTCCCCTTGGAATAAGAAAGGCATCTTTCACCTGGGAGTTTTATTTCCGGCTGTCAGGGAGAAAAGGTGGGGGTCAAAATGCCCTTTTTGGCACTTTTTTCAAGTATCTTTAGCTCAAAAGGATGCTTGTGCCAAAGTGGCATTTGGGGGTGGCACATTCTGCCACCCTTCACTGACCTGTTATATGTAAAGTTTGTATGTCTTTCTGATTGATTAAAACTTTACATTGCTGATAGTTTATTTTCTTTGTGTTTCAGTCCATCTTGTTGATATCTGGAACATGATCGAAGCCTTCCGAGACAATGGCCTTAATACACTGGACCATAGCACTGAGATCAGTGTGTCCCGCCTCGAAACTGTCATCTCATCCATCTACTACCAGCTGAACAAGCGCCTGCCTTCTACTCACCAGATCAGTGTGGAGCAGTCCATCAGCCTCCTCCTCAACTTCATGATTGCTGCCTACGACAGGCTAGTACCTTACATGTTTACTTAATTTTTTTTTTAAATATATTTTATTGATTTTTTACAGAGAAGAAGGAAGAGGGATAGAGAGCCAGAAACATCGATGAGAGAGATCGATCAGCTGCCTCCTGCACGCCCCCCAGTGGGGACGTGCCCGCAACCAAGGTTCATGCCCTTGACCCGAATCGAACCTGAGACCCCTAAGTCCGCAGGCCGACGCTCTATCCACTGAGCCAAACTGGTCCGGCCTTAATTTTAAGTAAGAGTGTTTCTTCCTTAATTGTTCTTCTTCCATACTTTCTTGCTAAGGGTTATCAACTTAGAATCACAGTTCAGAGGGGAATTATTCAGTGTAAGTCCTTTCTAAAGACTAATGCTCTGACCTGCTTCATAAGCGTACCAATACTAGTAAGATGGAAAATCCTTGAGAGCAGAGATTCTACTTTGTATTTCTTTGATTTCTCAAGTGCAGCACTGGATTCTTATTAAATATTTATAAAGTTGAAATGAAAATTAGCAGGTAAAAAAATTATGAGGCATTCTGATTATGATAAAATTGAATAACATTTTTTGTTGATTTTACTTAAGTTCTTTGATATTTGCCAAATGGATTCTTGATTTGTAGCTGATTATTGCATAATCCATTCACTGGAAGTTTTGTAAATTAGGATTAATTGGAAAAATAAGAGTTTTTGAAAATCAAAGAGAAATGCTCTTATTACTTTTAGCTACATGTGATAATTGGGAATAATGTTTCTAAAATAGAACTCTGTTTTCATGAGAGGAGTGCTAATTTATAGTTGGCAGCACCCACAGTTGTTTGCTAAAGATGTAAAAACAGCTTGTTTTCTTAAGTAAAAAAAATCATCTTGTTTTTCAAATGTGTTAATTTGAATAACAAGCTCTCTTATTAGATAGTGCAAAGCTATAAACATCACCCAGATTAGGTGAGTTTAAATATAAGATCAACCAAAGGACTTATATGCAAGAATATAGGCCTAACCAATGGACACAGACAACAGGGGGGTGAGGGCATGAGTGGAGGGGATGGGGGGTAATGTGGGGATAAGGACACATATGTAATAACTTAATCAATAAAGAAATTAAAAAATACATAAAAAATATAGGCAGAATTTGAGACTGGACAACTGAAACGAGCAGCTCCCATGCAGAGGGCACAGGTGAGGGTTGCAGAGGCCTTTGAGGTCCCTACCTGCATGTTCAAACACAGGTGTTTATTCAGGGTGACTCACTGTCTGTTGAGCTTGGCCCAGAGGTAATCATGGTGTTTTCTCAGTTTTGGATAATAAGAACTCTTTTCAGAAGTCATGTGCTTGGTTTGTTGTCAGTCTGTAAAATGATAGGTCTATGGAAATGAATCATGCAGAGATGTCTGAGAAAGAAAGTCATTCTCTTTATTGAGGGAGAGCGCTCCTCGGAGCGATTCTCTTGGGGCAGGGTTAAAATAACAAGCTCCCTCTCTCCTGTCATCCTCGACAGATATTACCTGTGTGCCTTTTCGTTTCCGTGTCTTTACGTGGGGGTTAATCTTCACTGCTCGCTGTGCCACGTCTTAAATATGACCTACTAATCAACTCTGACCTATCACAGGTCCAGTTGTAAGTGCATCATGTTTTTTGATGAAACCAGATCTTTCCCAAATCTTGTTTGAAGGGAATTGATTCTAGTGTGAACCTGCACTTTACCTTGGAATCACTGAAAACATGGACTCGGGTGAGGTTATCTGTGCCATGGCTGGGGCAGCTAACTCTTAGTTTCAAATGTAACTTGGCCAGTGTCTATAGATCACATTCGGATATATGGTGGGAAGGATCAAGAATGAGTTTTTTCAAGGAAAAAGAATCCGTTAGGTAAAGGGTATAATCATAGCTTATTAGGCTGCTAAGTGAGCAACGTCCATTCTATAATATGCCAACTGGGTGTATTCAGAATTTAAAATGTACTGGTCTATTTTTGCTTTTAAAAAAATATTGTTTTGCTTTTAGCATTCAGCATGAAAAGGGGGAGAAAGACACACACACACAGAGAGAGAGAGAGAGAGAGAGAGAGAGAGAGAGAGAGAGAGAGAGAGAGAGTCATTGATTTGTTGTTCCACTTATTTATGCATTCATTGGTTGATTCCTGTACGTGTCCTGACGCGGAATCGAACCCACACTTTGGTGTATCAGGACAACACTCTAACCAACTGAACTACCCAGCCAGGGCCTCTTGAGTGTCTTTTAACCTATACGTTTCCCCTTCATTATTTTTCCCTTAAACCATTACCTTTGTCCAGTAATGGTAACCTTTATTTTCCCAGGATTCATTTTTTTTAAAACAGCTGTTATTGAGAAATAGAAAACAACTACAGAAAAATACAGAAAACGAAGTGTAGTTTAAAATGAATTGTTATAAAGCAAATGTAAGTACCACAGTGGCCAAGAGCTAGAACGCTGTCATCACCCCAGAAGCTCCTCTTTCTTCTCCCCGATGTAATCAGGATCCTGACTTTTATGGAAATCTCTTCTAAGGTTAATTTTTACTTCCCCCTTGGAATTTCCTGGATAGTCCTGCATCATGAAATCTGTGTCTGCAAAAAATGTTTTGAGCACATTTACCTTAAAAAATGTCATTATCTGTGCAGCAAGGCTTGGCTCTGTTTGTGAGCACTCCTTCGTTCTCACTCTGCCGGCTGCCCGCCAGGCATGCCTCCTCTCCCTTCAGGGTGTTTTCTCCTGTTGCTTCATCTCTCTGGACCCCGTCCTGTCAGGAAAGACACTGCATCCCTCCAAGTGCTTAGTCATGAGCAGTAGAAACCCTCTCTGGCTAATTCATTAAAAGGATGTGGGTCGTATTAAAGACTCTCTGAGCGTGTTGGGAAAGTGTAGGCTTGAAGATCATGCCGCCAAGAACAAAGCTCAAAGTCACGCAAAAATGGTCTCACAAGCCCTTCTGCCACCAATCCGGGCACAGATATTGTTGCTTGAGCTCCAAACACCACTGATGCTGGTCTGCAGGTGCAGCCACTCGAGTCCCCGTCTCTGCTGCCTCACCCCCATGGGGCCACTCCAGCAGCTGCCACCCCTCCAGGTGGACTGTTCGGAATTCCAACATCTAAAAGATCACATTTGGAGTCCAGAGTGGTGCATCTTATTGGTGGAGCTTGTGTCATGTGCCCATGTCTGCGTTTCGAAGAAAGATGGGAAAACAGATATCTGAGTCTTTTCCTTTTTCAATATTTTGTTAGTGGGCAGAGTACTTGTCACATAAGGTAGGGTCTGCTCAAATGTAGACTCAACATTTGGAGGGTTTGTGACCAAAAGTAAATGTCCACTGTACAGCCCTCTATCATTTTAGGAATCCATGCATTTTGACATAATTGATGTTCTTTAAAGCCACTGGTGTTGCTCATATAATGCAGGGATATTTGACATAGGAATATTCCTTATCATTTCCAGGTGCCATACGCCAGGTACTAAGACAGGAAGACAGCATCTGTATTTGTAAAGAACTGTATATTTAAAATACCCCATCCTAATTTTAACTAGTTGTAGGGATTTCTCTTTTATGTTATGAATAAACTTAATGAGATGTAATAGTTAAAAACCAGACAAACGATGGTATTTCATGGCGATGCTTTCGCTGAGGACCTTCTAGCTTAGAGATAATTTGCCTTTTTTTTTAGGTATGGTCTTACTGTATACAAAGAAGGTTTAGAAAATGGGAGACACGTAGTAAATATAAATAGGATAATATAAATATAGTTAATATAAATAGTAAATGTAATAGGGCCATTAGTAAGTATAAATAGGATGACGCTTGCTTTATAAAACTAAGATAACGTCGCCCTCATCATTACAAAGGCATTTATTTTACTAAGTTGCTGTGACACTTTGTGAGCACAGCTGTGTAAAACTAGCACAATAGCCCCTTGTTTACTTACCTGTGATGGCTGTACAGACTGGCTGGTGGAGTTTCCACCTGCAGTGAGCCGGGGCGTAGTTGAGTGGGTGGAGCCAGGCACGTGGAGGGCCAGGGGCCTTGCTGATACAGTTTGGCTCTACAGGTGCCGTGCAGCGTGACTTTGGGTAGTGCCTCTATGTTGTTGTCCATTTCATCTTTCCAGTTCCTAGAAAGAATTATTCCTGACCCTTCTCCTTCACTTTTCTCACAGTTGTGATATGGGAAGACCTGAGACAGGTATGATTGAGCTTCTTAGAATAAACACATGAGAATATAAAGGTTGTCATAGTAAAAACAAACAAAGATGAATGTATTATAAAATCTTTATGGCCGTGTGCACCCTGGTGGTTTACACAACAGTAAACTGTTGTTAAAATGCCCGACGGACGGACACATTTCTGACTTAGTGTTTAAAACAAGTGGTGCCCTAGTTTTGAATACTTAAAAACATCGCAGTTGTGGATTTAATGGGCTAAGTTGATGAGAAATTTACTTCTGGTTCATCCAGTTGCCTCTGCCTATACAGCCAGTAGAAATTGCCTTATAGAATGTTTATAAAGCTCATTTCTAAATAATTTGGGTTTATTTTTAGCATTATTCACTTAGCCTAGATGAAGCCTTAATTCTACAAAGGAAAAAAAAATCCAAGGTTTCTAACTATCCAGGTAATGTGGCAGAAAAGGGTAAGGATCAATTTACTGGTTGCTCAATGGTTAGTGATACATTTGATTGCTATTGTGGTTCCAGATAGCAATTATTTCTAATATAATTTCTTTTTCAGTGAGGGCCGAGGCAAAATGACAGTATTTTCAGTTAAAGCTATGTTAGCAACTATGTGTGGTGGAAAAATGCTGGACAAATTGAGATGTAAGTATTTTCATATTATTTGAAATATTTTATTTTCAAATTATAACTTTTAAGCAGTTTTAAATGAATATTTTTCAGAATTTTGGATGATGCTGTATTGAACATCTTTATTTTTTTACTATTATATTACTCAGAGTATGTAAATTATGCCACCTAATGTTCAGATGGAAAAGTTGGTTGAATTATTTGTATACTATTTATTTTTTAGTTTAAAGCAAGAGAATTGAGATTCAGAGCAGTAATGTTGACATTTAAAAAATTCTTTAAAAAATGTTTTCCATATTTTTAAAACTTACTGTGTTAGAAGATGATTATGTTGATTGCTTTTAGTTAGAAAAGAAATTTGATTATTTCCACCAGGTGTGTAAAAGGTCAGCCCTTTTCTTTTTTAAAAAATACATTTTTATTGATTTCAGAGAGGAAGAGAGAGGGAGAGAGAAATAGAAACATCAATGATGAGAGAGAATCATTGATCAGCTGCCTCCTGCACACCCCCTACTGGGGATGGAACTTGCAACCTGGGCATGTGCCCTGACTGGGAATCCAACCATGATCTCCTGGTTCATAGGTCAGTGCTCAACCACTGAGCCACACTGGCCGTGCAGCCCTTTCTTAATAATTCCCTTCTTCATCAGGTTGTATTTGCTGCTATTAAACTGTTCCTGAGCACCTTGGAGTCAAGCTTAGTATTTAGAAATTGGCAGCATGATTTTTCAATTACCTTCCCTATTTTTTTCCCCTGACTATTGGCCATTTTGGCATTTTAATGTTCACTAGATACTATAAAAAGGTGGTTAGATGAAATCAGAGAAGGTGAAATGCACAATTATTTACTTTTTCTGCTTATGATTTTCATTCATTCACTCTAGATAGTTACTAACTGCCTAAGATATGCCAAGCATTGTGCCAGATGCTTTCCATATATTTTCTCACTGAACCCTTAAAATTTCTTGGAGTAGCAGGTGGCATTTTCTCCATTTTATAGAAGCGTTAACTGAGGGGCGAAGCTGGGATTTCAGTGTAGGCTGTCTAACTTCAGAGCCCCGCTTTAAGTTACTTTGTTATACTCCACGATGCTGGTCCTGTAAGGTGATCAAAGCGCCATCATACAGGTACCCATAGAGGAAGGAGCTGTCAGATTTCAGGGAGTTAAGATATAAGCTGTGGGGTTAATGAAATGTTGAGATACCCTGCGAATCGATTTGTTGAAGAAAATGGGTCATTTGTCTTGTAGCATTTCTCATAGACTGGATTTTGATGATTGGGTCCCCGTGATGTTCCTCTGTGCCTTACATTTTTAAATTTTAATTGAAAGATATAGAAACTTCAGATTCAAGTACAAGCTTTTGGGCAAGATTACTTCATTACGTGCATTAGAACTCAGCTTAGATTATCTTTCACAAAAGTGAAATCTATACTTCCCTGGCAAGGGGTAATATTCTATTCTATTCTATTCTATTCTATTCTATTCTATTCTATTCTATTCTATTCTTTTCTTTATTTTAATTTATTTTAATTAATTAATTAATTAATTTAATTTTAATTTTATTTTTTCCATCACCATTTATCCCCTTTATGCCCTCTTCTACCTCCTCCCACAATCAGCACATTATTGTCCATGTTCATGAATTCCCTCTTTTTTTTCTTTTTTGCTCAATCCCTCTACCCCCCTGCCCCCACCGACATGTGCTTTTTATTACTTGTTATCATGACATTGAAAGTTGGAAAACTAGATGGCTCACTAGATACAGATTTTGATGTTCTAAAGAAAGATCTTAGATGTTTTTTGGTGAAACTGTTACCCGGTTTGTCTGCATTTCAGAAACAGTTGCCATGTAAAACAAATTTTTGGTAGTGGAAAGTATAGTTATATTTAAGTGCTCTTCTCAGTTTTTTTTAACATGGTAATATTACTTTTTTGGACTGAAATTTCTTTTTTAAAAATATATTTGTATTGATATCAGAGAGGAAGGGAGAGGGAGAGAGAGAATCATTGATTGGCCGCCTCCTACATGCCCCCTACTGGGGATGGAGCCTGCAACCTGGGCATGTGCCCTGACTGGGAATCAGACCGTGACCTCCTAGTTCATAGGTCAATGCTCAACCACTAAGCCATGCTGGCCGGGCTCTTAATAATTTCTTAATTTTAGCATGGTGTTTTTCTGAGGAAGATAATATAATATAGATGAAATAATATTTCATTCAAACAGAAAGAAAAAGAAAGTTGGGATTTTGTTTTTTAATGATGATGATTCCAGGTAAAGAATATACATCGACATGGGGGTGTGGGTACGGGTGAAAAGGTGAAGGGAGTAAGGAGTGCAGTTGGTAGTTACAGAATCGTCAGGGGGTATAATGTACAGCACAGGGAGTATTACTGTAGTGCCAGTGATATTGCAGTACCGATGTATGGTGCCAGGTAGGTACCAGACTTATTGGGGGGGTCACTTTGCAAATTATATAAATGTCTAATCACTATGCTGTACACCTGAAACTAATATAAAATAATATTGACTGTCAACTGTAATTGAAAAAAACATTTTTAAAATGGCTAAAAAAATGAATATAAATTGCCATTTAATTAGTACTGGATAAACTAGTTGATAATAGAAAATTGATTATATATAAAAATGCACATTTTAGATGTCTCTGGAATTATTACGTTTCTAAATAGAGCTGATACCTGGAACGTTGTAAGTGCTAAGATTTTGCTAAGGACAAATGGTTGATTGAGTCCTAAAATTACTGAGTTCTCTGTTGGAACTGGTAGTGGAAAGGTAGAAATTTTAGTAGTATGTGAAATTTGGAAGGTACCTAAGTGATAGCAGGTTTTTGGTTGTTTTTCTCTTGGTCTTTCTTTAGTGGTTTTTTTTTTTTAATGTGGCTTTTGCACTTCTGGGAGGTGCACACTGACCTGCATTCACGCGGCACTGAAGTATGCACGCCCAGGCGAACGTGACATGTCCGCTGCGCTCAGAATGCCAGGCCTTTGCGCGCTGGGTGTGGGTTGAGGAGTTCCAAGCCATTCTCGGCCACTCATTACCAAGTTCTTGTTATTCAGACAGATTTAAAATATGGCTTTATTATCCCCTTCATGTTCAAAGTTATAGTTGCTGTACCATCTGTCACTGTCTCATTATTCTTATTGTCCCATAATGTCCTAGCTAGAGAATGAGGTGATTAACATAAATAAAATATTCAGGTATTGAAGCTTGCCTCTACTTTTTAAAATTTTAATCATCCAGGGCAGAAATCACTTTAAATGCGGTCTGGCCCTCTCGTATTAAACAGAGCTCTCTGATCATAATTTAAACACTTTTCATCTCCGAGGGATGTCATTCTCTGGTGCGTTTAGGGCTAATTGTGAGGTTTGGGTTATTTGTCCCATCTCATGTTTTCAGACAGTTGTGTGTGTGTTTTTTTCATTTCTTGAGTGTTTGTTGTTGTGCTTGTTGGTGGCGATGGTGATGTTGGTTGTCCTTATCACTGGTACATGTGATGGTATTGTCAGTCTACCAGTCTCTACAAATCTCTCTCTGCTTCTGAGTTACTTTTGATATACTACTGACAAAGGAAATGTAACCAAGCTCCTAGCATTCTACTTAAAGTAAGGGCATGCTGATTACTCGTATATCATGAGAAGCACTTGAGCTTCTGTAGTGTGGTTGGCAGTTTCGGCTGTTTGGAGAATCCTTTTGCCCCTGGCTTTCTAGCTCTCAGCTATGTTCCATCTAGTTGAAGTGGCTGAATAATAGCATAGACACAACGTGAGCTGTAACACTGCATTGTAATATCAAATAATATTTGACTGACTGTTCACTTTCTTCTACCTGCTTACCGGGCAACAGTGTCTTTGTTGTTCTTGGTTTCTCCATCTTCCTGCCACTGAAGGTGCTTTGTGCTGTTACCTCTGTTAATGTTCCTTTTAAATAGGTTTTCTAGTTTATGGAACATGCCTTAGTGTTTCTGGTTTTCTTCCTTTTATTTTGATCTTTCTGCTTCTACCTTTTCTTTTGTATTTTTTTCTTCAATTTTGCCCACTCCCCTTTTTTCTTTGATTCTCTTGTTTTCGTGTCAAGATAGCCTTTGAAATGACTTAACCAATATTTGTGCCTTTAATTTGAAACATTTTTTTAAAAACATTTTTTATTGATTTCAGAGAGGAAGGGAGAGGGAGAGATAGAAGCATCAATGACGGGAGAGAATCATTGATTGGCTGCCTCTTGCATGCCCCCAGTGGGGATTGAGCCGGCAACCCCAGGCATGTGCCCTGACCAGGAATCGAACTGTGGCCTCCTGGTTCATAGGTTGACGCTCAGCCACTGAGCCATGCCAGCCAGGCTATCTGAGTTCTTTTTATTCTACTTTGGAACTCACTAGATGGAACATTTTTGACATGCTGTATGTTTCCTTCCTATTTATTCTGTCATGGGGATACATTGCATCATTAGTACACAAACATACAAATATAATACAATTTCTTTTATACCTTATCACCAATATGCTAATATAATGATACACAAACATGCATATGTCTTATATAAATACATATATAAATGTTAAGGGATAAAGATACGCTGCTATGAATTTAATAAAAAAATATAAATTATATATCATCTTGCTCTGTACACTGAAAAAGAGTAGATAGGTAGACATGCATGAGTGGTTATTGGGTTTGATGTTTAGGACGAATATTAAGTAGGTGGGCCTCATCAACAAAGTACCCATGCCATGTTAATAAAAAATGAGAATCCGTGATGACTAAAAATCGTGCTAACTTCATGATACTTTCCATTACTAATGATACAAGAGACATAGAGCCATTTATAAACAGTTGATATTTCTTTATAGTTTGACTTTATTTGGTTTTGTTCTCATAGATGTTTTCTCCCAGATGTCAGATTCCAACGGCTTAATGGTATTTAGCAAGTTTGACCAGTTTCTGAAGGAAGTGCTGAAGCTCCCAACAGCCGTCTTCGAAGGGCCGTCTTTCGGTTACACCGAGCACTCAGTCCGCACCTGTTTCCCACAGCAGGTAAGGGCCACGTCACAGAACCGAGGCCCCGGGAGCACCCGCCCCACCACGCTTCCGCAGGCTTCCGCAGGCTGCTTCAGTGAAGGATGTAGGTCAGTGATGGCGAACCTTCTGAGCTTGGCGTGTCAGCATTTTGAAAAACCCTAACTTAACTCTGGTGCCGTGTCACACATAGAAAACAAAGACTTATATTTTTGATATTTACTTTATATATTTAAATGCCATTTAACAAAGAAAAATCAACCAAAAAAAAAGTGAATTTGCATGTCACCTCTGACACGCATGTCGTAGGTTCGCCATCACTGATATAGGTTCTGGGTCGGGGAGGAAACAGAGCTTCACGTCCAGGGCGGGAATCGTGGCCTCCAGGTAAGGGTCACCGAGAAGCCCCCTTATCAGCGTGGTCCTCCTGCCAGGAAGCACACACGGGTCTCGTCTTCCCTGGGGCAGGGGTTTCTGAAGCATACCGGCCTGCAGGCTTGACCAATGCCAGGGTCATGCAAGATGAAAAAAGACAGGAACCGTTCCAGACCACAGGGTCCAAAGAGACATGAAAGCTGAGCGCAGCCCACGGGCCAGGGTTTTCTTTCTCATAAAGGACATTAGTGGGGAGGGAGTAAAAGTGGGAGATATCTGTGATACTAACAACACAAAAAACATTTAAATTTTTAAAAAATAAATACAATATATAAAAATATAAGGGTAGAGGGTATCTGTACTGCAGTGTTAACATTTGAGGAATCTGGTTTGATGGCAAATAGAATTTTTTAAATAATCCGTTATAACCTTTCTGTAAGTCTGAAATTATTTAAACATAAAAGGTTAAAATATAAAAGGAACAGACCCTCCTGACCTGTGATACTTTGATTCACAAAAGAACCAAAAACACACACACATACACCCCTTTTTACATTGAAAGTTCAGAATTCATATTTATCTGAATTCAGACTTCCAAACAATCTTTTATAGTTTGTTTAGAGATTCTCAGCGTTAGCATTGAAGTTACACCCATTATAGAAGAGTTATTTTTAGTAACTTCTGAGGAGGTATTCTTCCCAAATCGTACACACTTGGCTGATGGTTTTTGTGGACGTTAGCCTCTGTACGTTATTGTTTTTCTCTCAGCATAAATGGCAATATCAGCTTTTAGTGTATTAAGAACATCTCTGTGCTTCAATTTATTCTAATAAAGCACAGCTTGCATTTCCCCCCCGAATGTGCATTTTCAGATAACACGAGGCTGTCCAAACATACCCTGGCGTTAAATGTCCTTCAGGCATTAAAACACCCTCCAGAACTGTAACTGAGGTGACGATGATGAAGACACCACAGTACTGGGGGGAAGGTACTCTTGTATCTGATGTCCATGTAGCTGTTTACACAGGAGCTTCCTGGAGGTCAGGCTAAAAACCGATCAGGTGATGGAATGTTCCTATTAAGTAAAGTAGTGTCAGAATGGGAAGGAGACTTCATACAAAGAAGTACCATTGAAGAGCAACATTTGACCAATGGTTGACGGTTGTGTGGGGTATTATCTAAGGTAATCTTTGATTTACTTACAATGTGAGTACTATAATGAGAATCTAATCCTACATAATAAAACCCTAATATGCAAATCGACCAAAGGGTGGAACGACCGGCAGAACAACCAGTTGCTATGACATACACTGACCACCAGAGGGCAGACACTTAATGCAGGAGCTGCCCCTGGTGGTCAGTGTGCTCCCACAGGGGGAGTGCCGCTCAGCCAGAAGCCAGGCTCACTGCAGGTGAGTGCAGCGGTGATGGCAGGAGCCTCTCCCGCCTCCACTGTAGGCGGGCCGTAAGGAGTGAGAGGTCCTGAACTGCAAGAGCCCTGGACTGCAAGAGGGTGCAGGCCGGGCTGAGGGACATCCTCCCCCCCCACCCCCCCACGAGTGCACAGATTTCATGCACTGGGCCTCTAGTATTGGAATAATGGTTTAAAATGTTGAAGAATATTTTAAAAATTCTAATTGTTAATTCTAAGAATGCTGTCTAGGATTCTGCAAATTACCTATGTCATGATTGTCAGGCCTTTGAACTCACAACCTAATCATTGCTTTTCACTTGCTTCAGATTTTTGTTAAAAAAAAACTCAGTCTGGTTTTATACATGGCAGGTTTGGAAAATTCAAAGAAGCTTATCTTCATCCACAGGAAAGTTGAATTGTGTTTGGTCTATGACTATAACAACAACAAAATGAGACTTGGGACAGAGTTTCATGCAGCAGGAGTTAAATTCAATGAGTTTGGGGTTTCTTTTTGAAAATGGGTTTTTCCCATGTGGTGTGTTTCCCTATAACCGGTTTTGTGTTTTTTTAATTAGAGGTAGCTCATACACCATCAGATACTTTTTAAAAAAACAATTTGCCTGCTTTTCACAAACTAACCCAAATAAGGGATGTATTTTCATGTAGTTTAATAGTTTTAAAAACACAACAACAACAACAAAAATTTATAAGTTAATTCAACAGAACACATCTACTGGAATAGCTAAAATTCAGTGACTGACACCAAATCACGGCAAAGATTTGGAGCAGCCAGAACTCTCTTACAGCCCCTTTGGAAGAAGCCCTGGTGGTTTGTTTTAAACTTAAACAGACACCTTCCCTTAACCTAGTAATTCTACTCCTAAGTTTTTCCCACGTGAAATAAAAAGGAATGTCCACAAAACAACTCTTGCAAGAACGGTCTAAGCCTCAGACGCATCGAGGTGTCCATATAATAAATCATCGGAGTAAGGTTAATTCAAGAGATAATATGTCTGGAATTTGCTTCAAGATAATCCAGGTTGCAGGGAGAGAGATGGCATAAATGAAACAAATTAGTCCTCTGCTGAGAATTGTTGAAGCTGGATGATAAGCACAGTATGCTATTCACTCCCAGTCCCCTCCTCCCTAGAGCCCCATGGTTCACCTCCTTCAGGCAAAGCAGAAAAATTCTTCGCCAAAAAACCTGAGGACCCTGGTCTCCTAGTGGCTTTACTTCATGGCCTAATGGCAGTTTAAAGAAGAGGATGGTGCCTCCTCAGATACAGCTTGTTTTATTATTTCTTTTAATCATAAGCAAATGTGAGCCGTCATTTTAAAATACAGTTCAGTGGATGTCCTGATTTCGCTTAAAAAACGCACATGACTAATTCCTATTTCCTACTTGATGAGGTTTGTTTTTTTATTTTAGTTTTTTTTTATTGACTTCAGAGAGGAAAGGAGAGGGAGAGAGAGTTTGAAATATCCATGACGAGAGAGAATCATTTATAGGCTGCCTCCTGTGCGCCCCCTATGGGGGATCTAGCGCACAACCTGGGCATGTGCTTTGACCAGGAATCAGACCGTGACCTCCTGGCTCATAGTTCGATGCTCAACCACTGAGCCACACCGGCTGGGCTGGATGCGATTTTTATCATGGCACCGTGTTGCTTTTCACTCTGAACCCCAGCCTAGCTTTCACCTTCATTCCGCAGGGCTCCTCAGCCCTCCCCGTCACTGTGCCGGGTCCTTTCAGACATCGCTGACGCCCCAGTTGCTGCACCACTTCACCTTCCCACCAGCAGTCTGTAGGGACATCGGTTTCTCCACAGCCTTGCCATCAGCGCATGTTCTTACACTGACGAATTTTTGCCAATCTGATAGGTGAAAAATGTTATCTTTTTTAATTTGCATATCTCTTGTGTTGAGTAACATGCATTTTGAGTGAATCTTAAACTAACACAGTTCTTGTCTTTGTTTATGCTGTTAGCTGTCACTGAAATGCCAGTAACCCCTGACCCCTCTTCTCCAACAAAGGCCTCATATTTCACATCCCAGCTTGCGTATCCCCTTTGATGCTCTGAATCTTTCATGTGGGATTAACTGCTCCTCCTCTGCAGCCCCGTGGCATGTCACATCCAGCTCACTCTCGCCCTGGAGGGATGCACCTTGGTCTCCAACTTTACATCCCCATGACAACAGTGTCTGGAAAATGATCAGTGCTTACTAGGTATTTGTGGGATTGATCGAGTAAGGATTTTAAATCAAATAGGCATGAGAAAGGGTCTTTGGCTTGAATTCTAATAGAAAACTTAAAGCTCATGGATGTACTTACAACCTTGTTTTCCCTGATATTATTCCATGATTTTCTCAAATGAAACAATCTTTGCAGAGAAGGAAATGAAGTTTTTCCAAATATCCTTTTAGCTATAATAAAATAGCTCTGATAAAAAGTGCAGCAACATTACATTATTATGTCCTTGCAAAGTACTCTTAATTTTCAAAGTCCAAAATAAATCTGTGGATATGGACAAATTCATTGTCTAATAATAATAAAGACTCACCCATAGCACTAGTCCTTTAACTAGCTTTTTGTAACCAGCATGTTTGTTCTTGTCAGGTAAAATGTTTTTCTAACTCTACACAAAAGTTAGATGAAATCATTGTAACCTAAAAGTTTTTTAAAGTGTTGTTTTCAAGTTTGAACTAGATGTCATACTTTAACTGATTACCAAATAAGTAATAGGGCAATGAATAAGAAATATTTACCTGTTGCCCATAAGGAAAGAGAGTTGTTGTTTTTCCAAATTGTTTCTTATTGAGGAATTATGTTTTTAAAATATTTTTTTAATTGATTTCAGGGAGGAAAGGGGGGAGAGATAGAAATATCAGTGATCAGAGAGAATCATCTATTGGCTGCCTCCTGCACGCCCCACACTGGGGATCAAGCCCGCAATCTGGGCATTTGCCCTGACCAGGAATCAAACCATGACCACCTGGTTCATAGGTCGATGTGCAACCATTGAACCACACGAGCCAGGCAAGAATTTTTTATGGAAATGATGAGATTGGAAATTGCAGCTATAATGATCTAATGCTAAATTATTTCACTTGTTTCCTCATGTAATACTGGATTTCTCATTTTTAAGAGATGATTCTACTCTCATTTTAAAACAGGAAAGATTTAGCAAAGGTTGTAGGGAGGGGAGTGAGAATGGCATTTAGGGTAAGAAATTGTCAATATTGAGGTTTAGAATGACAGAGGATGGTGATGTAGGCAACAAATAGAACCACTCCTTTCTAAGAAAAAATAAGAGAATGCATACAAATAGAGAAAGAGCCTCAGTTTTATTGAGGAAGATGTAAACAAGTCATGGTGTTTATGCTCAGTGCATCAGGCAGCTGCTAAAATGATTAGAAATAAAGACCTTGTAGGAAAACAGTAAAATATTTAATAAAATGTTAAGTGAAAAAACAGCTTATGTATTTTTACTACACTATGCACATAATTACATGGAAACATTTATACACTTGGAGGGAAATACAGAAAAATGAGAATTGTGGGGAGGAATTTCCATAATTTACAATTTGTTATAGTTTTTGTTATAAATGTTATTGTGCTATAAAAAATAAGGAGACAGTGTACAGGTGGTTGAGCCACTAGGCCCTACAGGACACCTACTATCAAGGCTACTCTTCCAATTCCAGGAGACATAGCAGCTCTACCTAATACATAGAAACAAACACAGGGAAGCAGTCAAAATGTGGAGATAAAGAAATGTCACAAATGAAGGAAATGGATACAGAGTTCAAAACCATGGTTATAATGTTACTCAAGGATCTTCATGAGAGCTTCAAGGGATTTAATGAGACTTTCAAGGATCTTAGATTCTTGGAGGAGGAAGAGGAGGAGGAAAAAAATCATATAATAAAAGGCTAATATGCAAATTGACCAAATGGCAGAATGACCAGTTGCTATGATGTGCACTGACCATCAGGGGGCAGATGCTCAATGCAGGAGTTGCCCCCTGGTGGTCAGTGTGCTCCCATAGGGGGAGCGCTGCTCAGCCAGAAGTCGGGCTCACTGCTGGCGAGCGCAGTGGCAGTGGCGGGAGCCTCTCCACCTCCACGGCAGTGCTAAGGATGTCCGACTGACGGCTTAGGCCCACCCTGTGGGAAACGGGCCTTAGCTGACAGTCAGACATCCCCCGAGGGCTCCCGGACTGCGAGAGGGCGCAGGCCGGGCTGAGGGACACCCCCGGCCCTCCCCCTGCACCAGTGCATGAATTTCATGCACCAGGCCTCTAGTATGAACAATAAAATGGCAACAAATACATAGCTATCAACAATGGAATCTAAAAAAATAAACAAGAAATCTAATGAACAAAATAAACTGGTGAATAAAACAGAATCAGAGGCATGGAAGCATGGAACAGACCAGCAAATCTCAGAGGGAACGGGGGAGAGGGGCAGGAAGAGATTAACCAGAGATCTTACATGGACACAGGAGGGTGGTGAAGGCATGGGGTGGGGCAGGAACAGGAGGGAGGGGGCAGTAGTGGGAAAGGGGGGCATCTGTAATACTCTCAACAATAAAGATTAAAAAAAAAACCAGTAGGGGAAGCTGAGAGAAGGGCATTCCAGAACCCTCTGTACTGTCTTTGCAACTCGTAAATCTAAAGTTATTTCAAAATAAAATGTTTAAAAACAACAACAACAAAAGAGAATGCAATAAATGTGTTCAACTCGAGAAAATAAAACAAAAAGAAAGAAAAATGAGTCAGCCTGTGTTTCACATAGTTATTTAGTAACTCAGATTTTTTGAGCTGGAATTCCATCCCAAAAGTTCTCAAACTTTTTGACCTCAGGACCTCATTACAATAAAAAGTATTGAGGACCCCAACAAGCTTTTATTTATGTAGTTTATAAATATCAGCATTTTCATATTATAAATTAAAAGTATTTTTAAGTCATTGAAAATAATGATAAATCTATTACATAAGTAATGTATTTTAATGAAAAAATAGCTGTATATTCCAAAACCATAAAATTTAATGAGAATGTCATTGATTTATATTTTTGCAAATCTCAGATTTGCTCAGTTGAAGACAGCTGGTATCTCCTATCTGCTTATCCATCCAGTCTGTTGTGATACGATGTTGTGGTTAAAATATAGAAAGAAAATCTGGCCTCACACAGATATGTAGTTGGAAAGGGGAGGAATATTTTTTTAAATACATTTTTAAGAAAAAAAAATTCAAAGAGGAAGGGAGTGGGGGGAGAGAGAGAAAAACATCAATGATGAGAGAGAATCATTGATCGGCTGCCTCCTGCACTGGGGATCGTGAGCCCACAACCTGGGCATGTGCCCTGACCAGGAATCGAACCATGGCCTCCTGGTTTATAGGTCGACACTCAACTGCTGAGCCACGCGGCCAGGCCTGGGGAGGAGCATTTTAATAGCCTTTTCAGATCATTGTGGATATGCCACGTTGCTTCTGAACACCCCACTGTACACTCCTGAGAGAGTGAGATTGAAAAAGGTAATAATGTCTGCATTATTATGAAAATAGTTTGGCTTCATGGACTTCCTAAACGAGTTTCCCAAGACCCTCCAGGAGAGCCCGTCACCGTACTCCGATATCCACTGCCCGCGAGAGAGATGAAAACTAAAACCAGAATGTTCAGCGATTTCCCCCCAAATCACACGGTTAATGGAAGACAGAGCGTGGGGCCCCGGTCTGTTTCCTTCCTCACTCGCAGAGGAAGGACTTCAAATGGCAGTGTGACCTCCCTCAGGACAACGTTGGGAAACTGATTCTGGGCGTATTACGAGGGTCTTCTGAGATAGCAAAACTAATTGTTCCTTTTTATCTTGAAGATGAAAAATAAAAAATTAAACTCCATGGTAGGCAAACCAAAACTGTTTTAGAGAAAGCATTCGTATTATAAGTGGGTTTGTGAACATGTGATTTTTAACAAATAGAAGATGTAGAAATATTAAACCTTCTTAATAAACGATAGGATATGCTTAGTCTGTTTACCACCTCTTACTAGCTGAAAAGCTTTCGAGCATCTGCCTTGTCAGTAATTTGAAGCAGGCATTTTTAATTTCATGGTTGGTAGCAATTATTTATTATTTATAATCGGGCGTTTCCATGTCTGGACTTCCATTCAGAAGTTCAGTGACTTTCTGGTTTTGTCTTTAACATTGTTCACTCGTTCTCCCAGGGTCCGCTGAGACCTCAGAAATTAGTGACTTGGATGCCTGAGGTGGAAAACACTTTGGAAATCTTTAGCTGATTTTAGCAGCTATTTCTCAAACCTCACCATCAGCGCACAGCTATACAGAGAGGGCCTTCGGATGGTGGCCTCATCCTGGGACCACCCTCTGGCTTGGCTCTCAGAACCTTTCCCTCCTCGGGCAGTGCTGGCCTGCGGGCTCTGTCCCGGCTCGAGACTTCCCTTGATTATTTCTCAGGTTTTTATTGCAAAAGCTTCTTTCTTGCTCTGCCATCTCCTTTACCTTTTTTTTTTTTCTCTCTCTTCCCTATATATCACTTTCTTCTTTTAAAGATTGTTTTCAATAAGAATGACTTCTAATTTACCGGTAATGGAGTCAAGGTCTCACAGTTGCCAAAAAGATACACAGACTTCAGTGTGTGTGGTCACACGTTTGGGTGACAGGACCCTCGTTGGGAGGCGTGGTGGTGGGTCGGATGGAAATCCCAGGCCCGTCTTCCTGACCAGCACTGCATGGTCCGCACTCCGCGCTTCCCTGTGCTGAATGGATTCGTGGTCAAAGTCAAAGTCGTTGTGTAGTCATCTGGCAAAACATTTGTCAGCTCTAACCACCTTTATCTTTCTACCTTCCTTTCTGGAATAAACTGTTTTAAAGTTTTATGGGGAAGCACCACATTTTTTTATATCCTGTTTTTCAGATAAAGTGGTGGCACTGAGAACGCAGTTAACTTGGGAGAGAAAGATGACATTTGGGTGCCTTTCGGCTTCACCCCTAATGCTCAGTGTCTTTCCAACCCCAGACTTTGGATTGTGGGGCCAGGGCTTGGAAAAGGCCTGTTTACTGGGCTGTGCACCCCTTGTTCTCCTGTGTTTGCCCTCTTGCCTTCGCTCTCCTTTTGGAATAAAGTTTGAAGTGGGGGCCTCGGTGTCCAGGTTACCATTACAGAACTTTCACACCAGTTGCATGGCACTGCCCTTTCTTCTCTTTCCCTTTCTTTTTAGAGCTGGGAAAGGTGTTTTGTGGGTTACAGAACATAAAGAGGAATTTCACTAATTAGAATTATTGTTGAGAACTTGTTTTATCTGTATCATCTGACTATTTTTTTCTAGGCTGTCTTCTAATTTTCTATGTCCACATGGGACATAATTTTATCAGTGCCTCCCACACAGTGGAGGCTTACACTATATTTGTTTAAAAGAGAGAAACAAAGATAGAACCAAAAAATGCAATCCGGCCAAGGAGATGGGTAATGGAGGGAGTACTGTGATGGGCATTTGCATATTGGGTCATGATGTCACCCTTATATCTACTTCTGTGGTTTGGCCACATAACTTCACCACTCCGAGCTTCCGCCTTCTCTTACGTAAACGAGAAGGTTGTTAAACGATGTGCTTGCCCCTCACGTTGGTATTTACTCAACAATTACTTACTAAACACTCGCTCTGTGCCCGGCTCTGTTAACGAATGCTGGAAACGCGAGGACAACCCCTGAGCCACAGTTCCCGTTCCCTGATGCTTTACGGTCAGGTGTGGGATGGGTGCTTCCACGCTGCGTACCGGGATTAGTACTAATGGCAGGATATCTGAGGTCTAGTCCTGCTCCTGTCTGATTTGGGCGGGACCTTTAAAAGGTATTTAAATGTTTGGTTCTTTCATTGTGTCACCTGGAAAACGCAGATAGTAATACCTCGCCTGTCTAACTTGTGCAGTTGTTTTAAAACTCAGATACAGTAATGTATGTGGAAATACATTTGAAGACAGGACTAATATAGTGTGTTGTGGAGTGTGTAACAGTGTCTTTAGTAATGTAAAATGTTTTATTTTGCAATTACATTCCACATGTAATTCATTAACTTGGTTGGGAAAGCCCCACGTTAACTTAGTCTTGGAGTTCAGAGGTATTTGAAAAATATAAAGTATATCTGTTTTTCTCCTCTCCACAGAAAAAGATCATGTTAAATATGTTTTTAGACACAATGATGGCCGACCCTCCTCCCCAGTGCCTTGTCTGGCTACCTCTCATGCACAGGCTTGCCCATGTCGAGAATGGTAAGCAGAACTTGTCCCTCTCTCGTTCCTATGTTATTGGAAGTATGTGAACTGAGTATTTGTAATGTCCTCAGCTACTATGATTGAAATTGTAATTGACATGTGCTGTCACTCTATTATTTGAATTTGTGATTTTAGCTTTCAAAAGAAGAATATCTGTTTCTCAAATACAGAAGTGGTGGGGGTCTTATTACCTAGATAGGATACCAAGAAGTAGTAATATCCTATATAATAAAAGGGTAATATGCAAATCGACTAAACAGCAGACCAACCGGTTGCTATGACGCACACTGACCACCAGGGGGGCATGCACTTAACGCAGGAACTGCCCCCTGGTGGTCAGTGCGCTCCCACAGGGCTCACAGCTGGCGAGCACAGCGGCAGTGGCGGGAACCTCTCCAGCCTCCGCAGCAACACTAAGGATGTCCGACTGCTGGCTTAGGCCCACTCCCCGTCAGTTGGACATCCCCTGAGGGCTCCCGGACTGGGAGAGGGTGCAGGCTGGGCTGAGGGACTGCCCCCCCCCCCCCCAGTGCATGAATCTCGTGCACTGGGCCTCTAGTCAGGTCATAAGAGTTTGTGGTTCAAACTCCAGGTTTTTCCCCTGAGATTCCAGGGGGTTGTTTCTGGCTTGAGTCCACCTGACTTAGCCATGGCTTCTTTTTTCCTTTAATTTTTAAAAATCATAGTTCAAAACTTGGATATATTCAATATCAACCACTAAAACTGTGTTTTAATTGTTTGAAGGAAAGTAGCTAAGATAGAATTTAGTACTGGGTTTCACATATCTTCAGTTCTTTCTTTTAATACTTATTTTACCTTGAATTATTCTCAGCATCCTTTCTAGTAATTTGGCTTAAATCTTTGTTCCACTTGGTATTGAAATGGCACTTATCTCATAGTAACGTCGTAATTTTTTCTGCTGCTGCTATCAGCTTATCTCCTTGTGTAGGTTGTTTGAGTTTATTAAAGGGAAGGCTGTGGTTTTTCTACGTAACCTCCTCTCGGGCGCTTCCTGTCTCTCCTCATTCCACACAGAGAACAGCAGTAGCTGAACGGCACTAAAAAGCAGAGGCCTCTTTCCCCTCCTCAGGATGAGACACACATCTGTGCTTTTTGATCTTCTCTGCTAGCCATACTCTTTAAAAATATATATATTTATTTATTTTATTTCAGAGAGGAAGGGAGAGGGAGAGAGAATCACTGATCAGCTGCCTCCTCCACACCCCACACTGGAGATTGAGCCTGCAACCCAGGCATGCGCCCTGACTGGGGATCGCACCCTGACCTCTTGGTTCGTAGGTTGGCACTCAACCACTGAGTCACACAGGCAAGGCACTTTTTTTTAAACTGTGGCTTTCGTTTATAAGTACCTTAGATTCAGGATTATTTTTTTAAAGGTCCAGAATCTCTTGACTAGAGTAAAATAGCTATCTTTTTGTGTGTTTGTTTATTAGTCCTCCCCCAAAGACACTTTTTCCATTGATTTTTTTTAGAGAGTGAAAGGGAGGGAGAGAGAGAAATACCAGTGTGAGAGAGACACATCAATTGGTTGCCTCCCACATGTGCCTCGACTGGGGCCGGGGATCGAACCTGCAACCTAGGTACGTACCCTTGACCAGGAATCCAACCTGTGATCCTCTGGTGCATGGGCCAGCACTCTAACCACTGAGCACAGCAGCCATGGCAAAACAGCTAACATTTTTAATAGGATTTTTGGATAGAGATTTATACTATTAAATTATTAGTATTATTGGTTCTTTTGGAGGCATTACTTTGAGAGCCTTTAAGTGTTTTAGTAGTTTCATAGCCAGTTCATTTTCATAAAATCATTTTGTATCTGCTATACCAAGTAGAAAAATCTTATTTGTCATGATGTATTATTATTCATATGAACATTTTATTGTGACTTTGTATTATTTATTGATTACATTCTTATGTGGTTATTGATATTTTTTTAGGGACCGAGAAATATTATGAAATCATTGGAATACATAGAAAATAAAACATTACCTATCACACCAATATTTATTTATGTATCTTAATATTTATGGTGAGAAATAAATTAAATTATGCTATTTTTAGTGGTTTTTTTGTTGTTGTTGTTGGGCCCTTTACTTCTCATGAAATTTATTACTCAAATTATATTGAGGTTACTATTCATCAGGACAGATATTTATGTGCTTAAGCAAAAATCGCACTTTTTATACTGGCTTGCTAACTCAAGTGTATAGTATATCAGAAGGTCACTATCACATGATGCATTCTTCCAAAAAAGAATACTTTACCAAAACCTAATCTTACTTATAATTGACCCAGCACACGTTGGTTCTTTCCTCATTCTGGTTTTCAGCGTTTTCCACCTGGTCACCCAGTCCACTGACTAATGTAAGCAATGGCTGGCTTTCGACTGGTTTGTAAGAGAGGAAAAATCACATAGACATACATGTTCAGTCAAAATTACCAGAATATGTCTGCTAATTTAACATTGCTGTGCAGTGACATTTAATATTAACCCCGAAGCATATGGAATTACAAACAGTGGCTGCACGGATTATGTTGACTGCACTGATGTTAGCTCTACATTGATTGGGGAGAGTGTTGTCGGGCAGAACGCTGCTATGTTGTGCAGTCTGAATTTGGAGCACAGACTCAGCATTTTCACGATTCCTTAGAAATTATTTGATGACCAAAGCTTGAATTTTTTGGAGGAAGTATGCCCTTTGTATCTCTCATTCGTATTTTGCTTTTCTTTTGGTCTTTAGTGATCTTTTTTTTTTCTTTAAACTACTTTTATTTTTTAAATATATTTTTATTGATTTCAGAGAAGGGAGAGTGAGAAAGAGAAAGAAGCATCAATGATGAGAGAGAATCTTTGATTGTCTGCCTCCTGCACACCCCCTACTGCAGACCAAGCTCACAACCAGGGCATGTGCCCTTGACCGGAATTGAACCTGGGATCTTTCCGTCTGCAGGCCGACGCTCTATCCACTGAGCAAACCGGCTAGGCTGGTCTTTACTGACCTTATTATACTGTTTTCCCTGCCTAGTGCTCAATGTATTTATTTTTTGACTCTTTATACCCTAGTTAACACACTGTGGACAGATCACGAGAATTCTCGTGTTTTCTGTTCTAAGGCTTGTGGCCAATCATGAGAATTCTTTAAAAACGATATTAGCTTGTAAGAACATGTAATAAATAACTTCAAAATGCAATTGGTATTTAATTTTAAAGTGTGCCTTTAAGATTTATGTAAAACTTTCTTTGTACTCATTCAATAGAAACTTATCTGGCCACTGGGTAAAGCTAGCAATAAAACTATTGGTCTACAATGTCTTAATATATATTTTTGGAAGCAGAACTAAAAATTCTTAAAATTGAGATAAGATTGGCTTTGTATATACAGTGCTAGAAATAGTCATTCCGATGAAGATTCGAATACCGTATCCCTCTTTCCCGTTGACTTTCATTTCTTCCAATCAGCATTGATTTGCCAGAGGGAACGAATATGCTACCAACATTTACTAGTAAAAGTATAAATAGTGGGGGGTGGGAGGGGCCTAAATATGTTGGCAGAAGATGGTTTGACTTCGGGTGGTGGCACATAGTGCAATCAATATACAGATCTAGTAACATAGAAATGTACACTTGAAACCTATATGATCCTATTAACCAGTGTCACCCAATAAATTTAATTAAAAATAAATAAAAGTATGACCAGCAATCTATACCACACAGTTGTGCATTGTCCACTTCCCACTCAGGGAACTGGGCTTTCAGGCTGTAAGAGGACCCAGTGCTCCCTGTCAATCCTGAGCACCGCCTGCCCGTTCTCACAAGGTCCGAAGCCCAGTGAGGTGGCGAGAGGGGCCGCAGGTCACTGCGTTCCCTTCCTCCAAACACAGTCCCGTCGCTGGTCCAGAGGACTTCAGTTCTTTGCTGCTACTTAGAGCTCTTAGCTAAAACTACTGTATTAGCATGTCTAGCGTTACTTTTTACCAGTTACCTTTTGTGTCCAAGTGTGTCGTAGTATTTCCTTCAGCAAACATTCGCAGGTCTTCAGTCCAAGGTGCTGTGTAAAATACCATTTGCGGGTAACACTGATATATCATATACGCCCTGGCTCTCACGGATTTTATGTTAGGGAAGGAAACATGTGCGAACAACCAACAGTGATGTATATCTTCAAAAACCAGTAGGTTTGGAAAAGAAACTTCGGAGTGAAGGTTCCGATTTCCTCCTTACTTGTATATTTATCTAAATTTTGAGAAACGTGAGTTTCATTTTAAAGAAAGAAATTGGCTATTTTCTAAGGTGGTTGAAAAATTTTTTTTGTTTATTGTTCCCCTTTTTTTTTCTAGGAAATGGCTGGTTAAATGAACTAGGAGACAACTTGAAGTCTTCAGTTCTAATTTTGTTTGCATTTTTTAAAAAATACTAGATGAGGTTTTTCACTGTGTTGACTTTGTTCCCCAAATGAAAATGATTTTTTTCTCCCTCTTATCCCATTCCTCATCCTCTGCCCTTCTCTCGTCCCTGCCTTCCCGCCCTCCACAAGTCTTCCACCCCGTGGAGTGCTCCTATTGCCACTGTGAGAGCATGATGGGTTTCCGGTACCGATGCCAGCAGTGCCACAACTACCAGCTCTGCCAAAACTGCTTTTGGCGTGGTCATGCCAGTGGTCCTCACAGCAACCAACACCAGATGAAGGAGCATTCCTCTTGGGTAATTGCTTTATTTTCAGTCTGTGTCCTCAGCTGTTCGTCTGTTAGGCACTTGGGCCTATTTCGGGGTAGATGCCTATAAATGAGGATTCGGTGTCATAAGATCTTAATACTGGCATTCAGGACTGGGTTTGCAAATATGTTGTACTTCATCACTTGATTTTAAAAGCAGAGTTTTTAAAGTTCTAGGAGATGGAGATATTTTTACACTTGAAATAATTCAGTAAAATGGAATGTTGCAATGCCCCCTTTCCAAAGTAAAACGCGAGTTTCTTCTTATTTTAAAATTCTACAAGGTATCTCTCTCAGTGCTTATGCTGTGAGCTTTAAATAAGATTTAAAGCTCTTTCTTTAGGCAAATTTAATTTAATAGTGCAAAGAAAGCTGCATGATATAAAGAAGTTACGTTTTTGCTGCTCTAAGGTTGGGAAAATACCTTATTGCACAATTGCCACATTGGCGTCCTTACTTTCAAAAGCCGTCTGTTACATACCAGTCCACTATTCAGGTGGAGGCTGATGTCTGATTTCTGTGTTGTGCTTATAAATCATGTAAGAAGCTTAGTACCAATACATTTTCTGTCCTCGTTCAGTTTATTTCCAGAGTTTTTACCTTTTTCATTTGTTGGTTGGTTGGTTTGTTAAACAGTAGAAAAATATAGGGTGTCACCCAAAAGTATATACACACACTTTGAGTAATTTTAAAGGCAGTGTTTATTAAAATACATTTCATGTTCAAAATTGAACTATCAGCTGTTAAAGTATATATAACATTTTTTGAGACACCTGGTTATTAGTATAATTCAAGATCAAGCTTGTTAAGCCTGGTCATTCTACTGGACTTGTAAGTAACAAAAAAAGTGGTGTGTGTGTTTTTTTCCTAGTTAGCTTTCATAAAACTAACCAAGAAAAAGCAAGTAAGTTTATATCAGAGATGTGTGTGTGTGTGTTTTTTTATAAAAAGAACAGACTGCAACCAAGTGTGTACTTTACTTCCTGCATCTGATGATGTGTTAGAGATTAAAAAAAAAATTTTATTAGTTTTTCAGTTACAGTTAACCATAAAATTTTGTTAAATAGAAGATCCTGTTCTGAGTCTTGTTACATTGTAAATGCCAGTATTTTTCTGAGCCGTTATTTTAAACTTTAGAATGGATTGTGAGGAAACAGTTGGCCTTGCTGGTAGCCCCTGAGTTCAATATACTCCCACCCAGTGTGGGCCTTTCCAGCAGGGAGTGCCTCGTCTCTTACGGCTCTGGGGGAAGTGTGCCCTATGGAGTTTGTAGATCCCAGGAAACACAGGAGGGTAAGAGGCTGAGCCAGGTATGTTCATGACTTCTCTAAACACAACCAGTCTGATTGGGAGAGGAGTGGGAGGGAGAGGAGTGAGTGAGGGCAGAGGGCAGCTGGTGGAGTCCTGCAGAGACGGTGACCCAGTTAATCCCACTTCCCTCCCTCCCTCCCTCCCTCCCTCCCACCCTTCCTCCCTTCCTTCCTTCCTTCCTTCCTTCCTTGTAATTATGGTAAAATATACATAACTCTTAACCCTTTCTTAATACACAAAGAGGCTGGGAATAAACCTATTCCCACTCTCTGACTCGGTGCCTCACATTCCGACTCTGCTTACCCCCATCTTCACTTTACCAAGAGAACTTTGACTGAATCCCCCTTGGTTACTCTGTGGCAGAGAAAGAGAGCGAGAGACACACAGAGAGAAACTGGTTACACGAAGCACGCAGGTACAGTTTGTTAGTAGATTGCCTCAGTAGAGGTGGCTATAGAACTCAGTGGATGCTGTGAAATTTCACCTTTTTTCCTCCAGCAGATGGCAGGCTTCACCTTTGAACAAAGTTACTTATCCTTTTCTTCAAAATCTGCTATAAATGAGGAAGTATTTGAATTTACTGAACAATCTCTCTTAATTTTCTTCTTCTTTTTAATAAGTGTCCACTGGGAGCTATTTGGGCATTAGTGATATTAAACCATTTCCTTTAAAAAATCAGAACAAATCGTGTTGTTATAGACCTGGAACAATTAGGATTGTTGACTTGTTTTTTTGCCAGAAAACTTTTAGAACAGAACATCTTTGTCGCCTTGGAGCATATAGCACCTTCCTAGACATGGTACTAAAAGCATAAGCAATAAAAGAAAAATAGATAAGTTGAACTTCATCAAAATTAAAGACTTTGATGCTCAAAAGCGACTGTCATGGAAGTAAAAAGCCAACCCATTGAAGAGGAGGAACTATTTGCAGATCCTATCTCTGATGAGGGATGTATCCAGAATTATAAGGAACTCTTACAACTCAAATAGAGCAAAACCCCCAAGTAACCCAATGTAAACATGGCAGAGGCACAGTGGAATGGTGGCTACCAGGAGCTGGGGTGAGGGGGAAAAGAAAGAATTGTTTTTTAATCGGTGTAAAGTTTCAGATTTACAAGAGGAAAAAGTTGAGGAGATCTGTTTCACAACAGTGTGAATAAACTTAACACAGGCACACACAGCAGGCAGCCAGCCAATGCTTCTCTCACTTCGATGTCCCTCTCCCCCTCTCTAAAATAAATTTTTTAAAAACATGTCCTTGGATGAGGATTAAAAGAAAATGGATAAGCCCTAACTGGTGTTGCTCAGTGAATAGAGCATCGGGCTGTGGACTGAAGGGTCCTGGGTTCGATTCGATTCTGGTTAAGGGCATGTACCTTGCTTGCCAGCTCCTCCCCTCCTGGGGCCCAGGTAGGCATTCCTGCAGGAGGCAACCAATCGATGTGTTTCTCTCACATCAATGTTTCTCTCTGTCTTTCCCTCTCTCTTCCACCCTCTCTAAAAATCAGTGGAAAAATATCCTTGGGTGAAGATTAACAACAACAAAAATAAATAAATAAAATGGTTAAGATGATCAAGTTTATGTCATGAATTTTTTACCACAAAAAAAAAAAAGTAAATTAACTGGAGGGCAAATGGGCAAATGATCTAAATAGACATTTCCCAAACAAGATGTACAAATGGCCAGTAAGCACATGAAAGGATGCAACAGAATCAGTCACTAGGGAAATGTCTAATCAAAACCACAATGCAATGCCATGTCACCCCCACAGGATGGCTAAAATTAAAAACAAAACAAAACTGGCATTGCCCTGGCTACTGTGGCCAAGTTGATAAAAGCATCGTCCCTTTCACTGAAAAGTCTTGGGTTTGATTTCTGGTCAGGGCACATACCTCTCTAAAAATACATGAAAATGTCCTTGGGTGAGGATTAAAGAAAAAAAAAAAAGACAGTGACAAGTGCTGATGAGAATGTGAAGAAATAGGAATCCTAATACACTGCTGGTGGGAATGTAAAATACAGAGAAATGAATACAATACAAAGAATGTAGGTTGTTTAGAGAGAAATGACGCCATGAGGGAGACAAGGGGCTAATTGAAGGTCGTAGGCTCGGTGGAGTATTGGTCCCACTGGGGTTGAAAGCAAGGGTTCTGGGAGTCAGCTTGGAAGATAGAAGTTGGTATGAGAGTGGGGTGTTCAAAATTGTGATTTTAGATGGTGTGACATTAAAATGTCCTGCGATGTGACTGTGAATCTGGTGGCCAGTGTGGAGTGGAGGAAAGGTTGTTGAGGGAGAGGAGTTCAGTGAAGACCAGTGTGCAAATTTTCTAGGGCTGCCATAGAAATTACCAGAAACTTGGTGGCTTAAAACAAATTTATTCTCTCACAGTTCTGGTTGCCCCAAGTTTGAAACCAAGATGTCTAGGGCAGCCTGTGATCTCCAGAGATACAGAACCAAGAGGAGATATATAAATATAAAGGTATCCTATCTAATAAAGAGGAAATATGCTAATTGACTCTCACACCATTGCAAAGATGGTGGTGTTCACAGCCAATAAGGAGGGAATATGCTAATTGACTCTCACACCATTGCAGAGATGGTGGTGTTCACAGCCAATAAGGAGGGAATATGCTAATTGACTGCCCCATCCTCAAAGATGGCAGCGCCCACAGCCAATAGGGAGGAAATATGCTAATTGACTGCCCCATCCTCAAAGATGGTGGTGCCCACAGCCAATAAGGAGGGAATATGCTAATTGACTACCTGCCCTCAAAGTTGGCAGCACCCACAGCCACAAAATGTTGGTGCCCAGTCCCCTCAACCTCACTGGGGTGGCAGGCATGTGGCCTGCCTCCAGAGCCCTCCAGTCCCTTCAGGCCCCCAGCCCCCCAGGGCCGACCCAAGGCACAGGCAAGCCTCAGATGGTGGCTGCCCAGCCGCCCAGGGCTGGCCCGAGGTGCAGGCAAGCCTTGGATGGCAGCTGCATAGCTGCCCAGGGCCACCCGATACTCAGGTAACCAGGGCCAGCTGAGGCTTGCGCTGCCGACAGTGACAGCAGCAGAGGTGTGATGGGGGCGTTGCCTTCCCTGATCACCGGATCGCCTCCTGCCCCTAAGGGCTCTAGACTGTGAGAGGCGGCAGGCTGGGCTGAGGGATACCCACTCCAGTGCATGAATTTTCATGCACCGGGCCTCTAGTTTATTATAAGGAGTTGGCTCACGTGATTGTGGAGGCTGATAAGTCTCAAGATCTGCAGGTTGAGTTGGGACACTGGAGACCCCGGACAGCTGATGGTGCAGTTCCAGGAGTCTGAAGGCCTTTGACCAGGAGAACTGATAATGTAGTTTTGGTCCCAAGACCAGCAGGCTTGAGACCCAGGAAGAGACAGTGTATCAACTCAAGTCTTGAGGCAAGAAAAAGCCAATGGCTCACTTCAAAGGTAGGCAGGAGGGATTCTGTCCTGCTCAGGGGAGGGCCAGCCTTTTTGTTCTATTTAGGCTTTCAACCAATTGGATGAGGCCCACCTATATTAGGGAGGGAAATCTGCTTTATTCTACTGATTTATATCGGAATCTCATCCAAAAACACCCTTATGGGAACATTCAAAATAATGTTTGACCAAATATCTGGGTACCTCCTAGTCCAGGCAAGTTGATAATTAAATTAGCCATCACACT